TATATATATATATATATAGTGGCTCAGTGCCAGAAACTTTTACTTGCGATAGAGTTAACGTGCTTCACGTTTTAATAAAAGATAATAAAATATAGACGTAGTCAACGTTAATGTATTGTAAAAATAGAGACTCGGTCACAGTAAAATTCATTACGGATCAACTCTTTGAAACGTTGAGAAAAACAAATATTAAAACGGAAAGTGATTAAATGAAATATCTAATTTAAATTTTAATTATAAGATAATTTCTCAACATCTTGTAGATCAGCTCATCATTTCTTAAGACTTGCGTAAATTTGTCAGTGGTATTTGGCCTCTATTTTTAATTATTTAATTAAAATTGTATTGATACTTCTATTTAAATTTAATTAGCACAAACTTGTGTGGATATTGTTTGGGAACTATATATCCTACTTAAGGGATCCGTCATGAGAACAACGAGGGAATAAAAAATTATATTCATTTTTTTTCCTTTCACATCACTATCTTAAGACTTTGGCTTACTAGGGAAGGCAAATAAATTTATACTCGTAGGTAATACTCGAACTCGTCCCGACTTTGACGGAGAATACCTGGTTTGACCGGGTACGAGTATGAGTAAAACCCGATATATTAAACTGGGTACAAGTATATACATACTCGCCCCGTACCTGTACCCGTACCCGATTAAAATATCTATAAAAAAATTTAATATTTTATTATGTTTAATTATTTATTATAATGTAAAATATTTATAGTTGTTTAATTATTAAGAAATCTCTTGATTAAAATATGTGATAGAAAAATAATTTAATTATAATTATAATATAATAAAAAATAATTTAAAAATATTGTGTATTTTTTTTTTGAAAAAAAAAATAATTTTTCACGGGTATGGGTACGAGTACGGGTATACCTGATACCCGACAGGGACGGGAATGAGGATGGAAAATGAAAATCATATACCGGACGAGTGCGGGTATGAGTACGAGGATGAGTGTGAGTCGCGAGGACGGGAACAAGTTTCATGAAACCCGTATCTGACCCGCCTTGCTGTCAAGTAAGTAAAATTTGGTTAAATATTATTAATGGCAAAGATCGAATTTAAATATTATATAAATGATTTGATCTTACGTTCAAATCATCTATATAGTTGTCTCTATTTTTGTTAAATGATAAGAAATAAAAAAAATTTATAATAATAACTTAAAATGATCTATTATAATCGGTATTTTTATTATTAAAAACATTATATCGTTTATATTAAATAATTATCTCAATCGATTAATGATATGAGAGAATAAGTCAAGATTTTTGAAAATTATATAATTAGAATAAATAATTTTATATTTGAAGAATGAAAATATATTTAAATCTAATAATTTTATTTTTTTTATATTTAAGTGAGTATCATTTAACTCGAGATAACATCATTGGTTCTTTTGCCATCCCTTTTCTACAAAACACGAACGACGTGCTTCTCAAAGTTAAATAAGAGTAGACGCCATCGAAAAACTTAAGAGCTGCTTCTGCTATGTAGTATTAAAAAAAAAAAAAAAAAAAAAAGACATGTGAAGATAAGCATGAGTGATGTTCCGTTGGTGAGGGTGAGCCTCGGAAACAGTGGTATAGAAAAGACGTTTCCCCAACACAAACAAGCCTTAACTGTGTACTTCCAATTGGGGCATGAGTTAGTTAGTTAGTTACCACCGTTTCCACCAGAAAATCCTCTGTTCCTCTTGCCCACCCTGCCAAAGATCTTACGAATGAGATACAGCTTGCGAGAGTGGCGAGCGATGAGATTGGCCGTAGAGGAACTCTGCCCAAGCACGATTCCGTAACCGTCTTGGAAGGACTCCATGCCCTCCGTCAGAAGCTGCCAGAACAATGCTCCCCCCGCAGCCCCTCCTCTTTTAACCGACGCATATATCATGGAATACACCGAATTGAACACTTGATCCCTCTCGTATGCCAAACCCTTCAACGATTTCCCGAATTCCCCCACCATAATCGGTTTCCTTATGGCGTATTGCGCGTCTCTCAAGTGCGCGCTCAACCACTTGTTCAAGAACCAAAGCTGATACTGCTCGTTTGAACTCGATAACCTGCTCATGATGCAATCAAAGCGTTTTAGGGTTTTATTACACATCCATTTCAGAATCTGTTTTAGTTAGTTACCACTTACCATTGGTCGGGGTAGCAGTGAACTGTCGCAAAATCTATGCCCCGGATACGATTATTTGCGATGAAATCTGTCCCTATGTCGAAGCCAGGGTTCATTCTTTTCCTCTCAGGGGTTGAATGTCCATAAAACCCTTCCAGTCCAGCTTCCAATAAGTGGTTCCTGTCTATCCACTTCACAAACGAAGCCATTTCCGCGATCCACGCCTATAATCAAACAATAACTATTACTACCTTATTATTGTAACGCAAATCACGCCACTATAGCTTAATTTGTCCTAATCATGCCATCCAAAAAAACAAAAATTCCTCCTTTTTAATGGCAATGTTGTTACACACAATATTTTAAAACCAACCAATAAGAACAAATCTACATTTATTCATAATATATAGGTCTTATTGATGAGTTACATTGGGTACAATGTTACAATATTCTTTACTTTAAAGTCTCTTTTTAATAGAGTATTTTTTATGTTTGTAAATAAAAATTTTATATTTTTTAATAATGTGCTATTTTTACAACTATGGGAACAAGAGGAAATTCTTTTCTTATTTCATTTAAATGGAAGTATTGTTTTATGAGGGGGGAAAGAGGACAAAGTCAAAAGACAAAAGAGAAAAGAAAAAGAAAAAGGGAAGGAAGGGGAGCAAACAAGGAAAGATATTTGATGACCTGAATGGTCCTTCCTGAAGGATCGGATGTGCACCTAGGCTCATTCATAAGCTCCCACGCCATGATTGTTGGATCATCTTTGTAATGAATACCCGTAAACCTGTTGAATCTGGTAAGAACAGTCTGGAAAATGAACCTAAATCAGAACTTTAAATTATGTTGCCCAAGAGAAACAAAAAAGAACTCTATCCTTTTCTCATATTATATAACACTTTCATTGTAATTAGAACAAATGCAAAATTAATTATAAATAAGAGATTATTGCCTTGTGTGTTTGGAATAGATAGGGTCATGGTAAAAGGAACAAAAAATAGAAGAGACAAAAAAAGGTACAAGAACTTGTCATAGTCCAATGTTTTCATCTGCAGTGCACATACAATTTTACCAAGCAAGACAAGAGAAATTCTACAACTAACCCTGACATGGTTCATGTAGTAACCCTTAACAACACGGTTTCTGAAGAAATCATCATCTGATGACAGATACTGCCCGTGACTTCTAGCCCAGTTCACGTACTGCTTCTTCCCTCCAAAGTTTTCATAGTTGTTCACCAAGCTCAGTATGAGCTTAATCCCATACTTTCTGGCCTCAGACACAACGAAATCCAACCCCTTCACACCAACAAACAGGGAGAAAAAAAAAACATTGAAAAAACCAAAATGACATGTAAAAAGGTAAAATTTTCAAAACTCTTACTGTGAACATTTGCTCATTATAGAAGCCAGGGGAATATTGTAGGGGTCTATAGCCAGCATCACTGAAGGCCCAAGTTCTAGCAACAGTGAGGCCATGAGATGCTGCTTCTCGGAAGGCATTTGAAACCTTGAACCTCTGAGATGGGTCCGAAGCTGTGTACATCAACCAGTAGGCATTGAAGCCATTTGCATAGTAAGGGTATCCATTCAACGTGAAGTGGATGCCTCTTGTTCTGACAAAACCATCCCTTGCTTCCACAAAGACAATATTGAAACACTCCTGAGGGACCAAAATGGCCAAGAGAAATACCAAGGCAAAATGCTTCATCTCTCTTTAACTATCTTACACGCACTGACACATCCACTGTGTTTGGAGAATGGAGGCTTCTCTTCCTGTTTATATGCTTAGTAGTGTGGGGATAAAAGAGAAAAAGCAAAAGTGAAAGGGAAACTAAAGCTCTTGGCACTTGGCAGTTGCTACTTGCTAGGCCCTTCAAAAAGTGAAAAGCAAGTTTGTCTTCTTACATTCAATACAACGTTATATTGCAAGTTAGGGTAAGCTTAGCTGAAATTTTATTTGGAAGTTTGATTGTGAATGTTATTAAAATAAATTAAAAATATAAAGCAATTTTGTAAGTTTAAATGAGTTTCAGAAAAATAGCAGGACAGAAAAGTCCACGCAGGATTCTCATAACTACCGACACAGGATTGGTATAATGTGAGAAACAGGTAAACCAACTACTGCACTTTTTAATGCGGCATTAAGAAACAGAACAGTGTTACCAACTTTTGCTATGGATGTTTACTAAACGATGGAGGTAACTAAATATTTACGTCCACTTTATGTTATTTTCATCTGAGAACAACTATTTAATACATTATTAAATTGAAAGACATAATTTAGTATTATTCCATTTCTTCATTATCAAAGTTATCGCTATAGCCATGCACTTATCCAATAATAATAGTTCGCAGTGCAATTAATTGGTTGAACTGCACCGACAGTAGCCCTAGCTCCCATGTGCTCAATGGATCTGAAATATATATGGAGTTATAGGAAATAAGGGAAAAAAAAGTTTAGAATTAGGAAAATTCGAAATTATTTTCTCTTATTTAATTTTGCATGCCCTCAATTAACATTGGGTTGCTGATATGGTTTCTTGTTGATGCCTTCTTCCTCTTCTCTTGTTTTGTGATCTCTATCTTGTATCTGATCCACCACGCGTCACAGTTTGGTTAACCTTCGAATTGGAGCCATGCTTTGCAGCAGCATCTGTTCATATACCAGTGTCCTTTTCATGAGGTCCACCACTACTTATAATAACATGTCTCTCCCATGTGTCCCGCCCCAACCATTTGCATTGCCATATACTTCGAATTAGACCTAAGCTCAGAGTCGATTGTGGATAATAATATCCAAAATTCAGTTCCTCAATTAACTACATTTCAATCATTATTAGTACTTATTCATATTTGTTCCAGTTATTCATTCATATGTAAAATGTAATGAAACAAAATTTGATACCATTATACCAGTAACCTAAATTAAGGATATTAATTTCCGTTATGTAGATGAAGTAATGAGGTAAATGTTAATTCATCTCTGATTGGTTAAAGCAAATCGAATTTCCTTTCTTATACGTTTATTTTGTTACCATTAGCAAAAGCAGATAGGAAGGGTGTTGTGAAAAATATAGAATGGAAAGTGTGGTGGGGATAAGGCGAAGGCTAAGCGTGGGTCCATGGTGGCACGTCTCAATGCGCGTGACATGAGTGTGGATATCTCCACGATTGGCGCAATAAATCAACAAATCTAACACACTTTACGACACCATCCCATGCTCGTGCTTTGTCTGTGACTAATAGAGACTAGAGAGTAATATATATTACTCTCTAACAGTGACTTGGATTTTCTGCTGTTAGCTTTCACATGCTTCAACCTACATTCATAATTTAATAGCTGAACTTTTTTTCTTATATATATTTTCTTCTGATTTAGTTCCTCATTTGATCTCTATACGGCTACTATCTTTAGCTTATAATTTTTCAAGTTAAAATATATGTTTTTTTTCTTATTTTATCTTTTTAATTTTTATAGTTTAAAATAAATATTTATTTCTTATATTTATCTTTATTGATCTTTTTAGTTCCTATAATTTAATATATATATATATATGTATATATCTTTAATTTTTATACTTGTATTTTTAAATTTTTATCATTAATTTGTTTGATAAAATCGTTCTGTATATGTCGACATAATAGAGGTGTGTATTCAATTTTATGAAGATAAAAATGTTTTAATAATAAGCATCAAAATGAATGTAAAAAAGAGACATTAAGTATCGATGAATATAATTTAAGGTAATTCAATAAAATAAATTTCATACTAGAAATACAAAATTAAACATCTTTATTATCCCAATATAAAAAACACAACGTTATAAAGAAATTAATCACATACATTAAGAGGATTAAAAAGTTGCAAATATTAGAACTAAAAAAATTTATATTAAACTATAAAGATTAAAAAGTATTAAGAAAGATAAATATAAATATTAAAAAAATTAAATTATAGAAACTAAAAGATAAAATAAGTGAAATTATAGAAATTAAAAAAATATTTAACCTAATTCTTACACTTAAAAATCATCCATTTTAGTCTCTAGCCAAGTATTTTAAGTTTTTTTTTTTCTTATGTTCTCAACCATTAAATAAAAATTAATGCCATCATAAGTGAAAGACATGATGATCCTAACTTAGTATAAATTTACATAAATTGTTATGTTTTACATTTTAGTCGTTATATTTATATATACTATCTTTTTCTTTTGTTCTCTATATTTGCATTATATTTACCTTTTGGTCTATACTTGTCAAATTTTATATTTCGGTCTTTACAATTAGAAATTACATATTTTACTCTCTATATAATCATTTTATTTTAGTACAAGTGTATTTAGATATAAGTTTAAAGTATTTTTAAGAACTTTCCTACCGCAAAAAATTCTTTAATAAAAAAACTATCAAAATTTATTTTAAACTTATATCAAAACTGATTCTTTGTCAACACATACCCCCCTTTCTTCTTGCTCTTCCACATTTCTCTTCTTTTTTTTCCTTTCCTTATTTATTATTATTTTTTTATCAACATGTCCCTCCTATTAGGGAGTATATAGAACCTGATCCGACCCGGAAAACTGTTCTAGACCGAAGGCTTTAGGTTGAGTCTGACCAAAACTCGCAAAGGATAAAAAAAAAGCGACATAAAGAAAAAAATCTAAAACTCAACTTCGGGTTAGAGACTTAGAGCAAGTACACGTAGAATCTCGAGATAAAACTCCACCTGATTACTATTTATTTATTACAATAGTTGTTATTATTATTAGTTATCACATTCAAAACAAATCGGGAGAGGAAAAGAAAAAATAAGCCATGAGAGAATCACTCAAAATTAGGGTTCCAATTAGTTTTTTTTTATTTATAAATAAAACTCTTGTTTATGCCCAATGATATGCGATATCTCACAAAAGGAAAATACCGTAAAAGGAATGTAAAGGTCACACAAATGTTTTTAACATAGTTTATTTCTCCATGCCAACATCCATAACATATCTCAATAAATATTTATTATCTCAAATATCTTACGTTATTAAGTCTTGTGCATATGTTTATAACATCTTATATGACTTTTTCTCTCATTAAATATAACTCTATAAGTCAAATATTTTTTATCTTAAGAATTTATTATTTATTGATTTTACTTCTTAACATTACAAGAAGAAACAACTTCCTAAAATAAATATAATATTTTTAATTATAAATAATATCCTAAAAGATATATGGTATTTTTTATATCTCAAAAATTAAAATTTTGAATTATTATGTTGAACACACATCCAGTGTCTCGTTCTCTCCTTCAAACCTTCAGTTCTTCTCAGTTCTGATTCCTGCTCCCAGTCTTCTACTGTCTCATGTTTTTTCTCTCATTCACAGTCCCACTCAAACCATTAACCAAGTTTAATTCTTCAAGAGGTTCACTGCTGTTATCTTTATTATTTTTGTTGTTGTCGTGTATCTTTGGAATCTTTTTCTTTTTTAGCGTGATGGGACGATTTTTTTTTTATTTTTTTTTTTGTCGTTGTGATGAGTTAAAAGAAAAATATACTTTCTTAGGATGCTTTGATTTCGCTTTCACATTTTATCTCCTAGTGCTAATTCTAGTATTAGTGGTGGTGCTACTAATTATGATGCTAGAGAGACAGGCAACTCGGAAATAACGTCGACGTTTAGACGTTGATAATAACACACGACGGACCACACGTTCATCAAGAGATTCAAAGCCGATGCCCCTTTCATGTCAACAAAGAATTTATAGTGAAGCTTAAACTATTGAGAGGAAAGGCAACGCCTAGATAACACCAATTGTTGGAGCCTACACAAAACTGGTCCTCAGCGACAATTTTTTGATCTCATGTACTCGCCTAATTGCTAACTAATCAACCAACCTTCCAAAAATAACAATAATACATGCATTAACATAATTGATTATTTTGTCATCCAATTACAATATATATTTTTATACTCGCAATACATGTGTATTAAACTAAAAAATACAATTAAACTTATTGTCACATACATTTGTGTTCTGCTAAATATTCCACAACAAAATTAACCAGGTTCAGCTTATAGGGACTTTTGTCGATACATTTATTTTTTTCTGGTAAATCTTCGTCAATAACATTTGAATCTATATATAAGCCACAGCTTCAACATCTTTGAGCTATGACCTAGTTAACAATCCGTTAAAGCTATAATTACTAAATAATAAAATAGATATTCTTAAATTATCAACGGGCTATCCACACTTAACGAAAATACCTGGTTATCGGAAACAGCAAAAATTAAAGGGTGTTCAACAAATCACAAATTTCTCACTAACCTACTATAAAAATATGAATCAGCCTTTCCCGGTGCATGGTTCTGGAAAATCCAAAGAGAACAATTGACTAACATAACAAATTGCTGGTAGGATAGGATTATTACTATCAGCAGTGCTTTATCTCGATCTCTAACGTAATGTATCTGTGACCTACGTCTACCTGTGTTGTCAACGAATTCTTATAATTTGTATTTTACTAATACGCTACTTTCACCAACGAACAACCAACATAGAGACAGCTCACACAAGCCAGAATTCTACTAGTCCATTCTTTCAATGCTCAACCAGATTTTCCTTGTCAATCCAATCTCTCTTGCTGCATGAAAATGCTTATAGGAGCAGGCTTAGAGAATTTATTATGAAAGCATTGTACCAATGGATAGTATCCTCTGAATTTCCAAGTGAAACTGCCAGCACCCACGAACGCATACTAAGTCATGGAATATTTTCTCAACAATACGGATCAAAACACTTCACTGAGCTACATACCAAGATTTCCAGGGGAAGGCACAAGTTCACTATATATCTAAACTATGCACAGTCGAATGCCAGAAAATTGCAACTGATAAAGAGAAAAGTTGACATGGCGGCATGTAAAACTTTTATTGTGCTCTCCTACCATATAATACGGCATTGCAGTTGATGGTGATGTGATAAATCACTTGGCTGCATCATCTTGTTCAGGAACTAGATCGTGGTCAGTGAAGGACGATCCTTTACCTGTTGGGAGATAAGACCATGCTATTGCAGCAGTACTAAGAGCAATCACAGTTGTAATGGAGCCCCAAATCCATCTCTGCCTCTTGCTGCTCCTTTGCCTCTCACGCCGTGCCATCTCTAGACAAGACAGCCAAAAACATAAATGAGATTAACAAATTAATCAAGCTAAATAAAACGGAACATATTATTGGCTAGGATCAAGGAATCCATGTAAACTAAAAAGCAGACATTTCCCTTATGTATATATAAATAGGAGACTCTGCTTCTGTTTCTTGTACAAACAGAAAATTATCTGGTCAGTGGATATCGTGATTCGAAATATAGACATCAGGAAAATTCTACTAACTTGGACAATGCTAGAATAATAGTTTGAAAAATGCAGGCTGTGCTCACTATAACTGCTGAGATTTTTTCTCTTTGCAACAAAACATCAATTACACGTAATACCTCCCAAAAGAAATACATCAAGGCAGCTTTAAATTTGTACCAATCTAACAAGTAAACAACCATTACCCCTAACAAATGTGTTACTCCATGCACCCACCAGTATTTTTTTCATAAAAGATTCCAAGCATCTAATATTCAGAAGGTATTCAAGCAAACCAAATACGAAGTTATAGCTTTAAAGGAACATCAAAAGTATGAAGAACTTCTATAAAGGGCGTAAATAGTCAAACCGCACATTCCAACTGCACTTTGAAATTGTAACATGAGTTAAAAAGAATTAATGGCTGCAGATGTGTTCGAGATTTTGCCTATTATAGAAATAACACTCCATACAAGCCTAGAGCCATGAGCTCATACTATCTCAGCATTCAATATATTTCATCATCTCCAAATAATGAAAGGTTCCCCCTTCCCTTCTATTCCAATGATGCTAATTGTTATTTTTTTGATGGGGTTGGGTTGGGGCAAGGGAATGCCATAAATAATTTTAAACCACCAATCACCATTCATTATTTACAAAATCATAATAATCCCCAGATTGGAGCAAGCAAGAAAAAACCCTATGGACAGACAAGTTTGATCAGTCATAAAGACAACCACAAGACAGTCCCAGTCAATGACCACATACAATACTTGCTTAACACATACAAAGATAAACTCATGTCTAAATCTGCCATTTTGCCTAGACCATGTATAATTGTGCCAATCTAAAAAAAATGCACAGCAGGACGACAAATGTAAAGTCTGATTGGATACAAGCTTAAAAAAACTTTTGGGAACTTCTCTTGTAAAAATAAAGAGCTTTTTTCAATAGAGAAAAAGCTCTTTTAAGCTTGCATTCAAACAGGCTCATAATGAGAAAAAATAAATTAGCAAATCAAATTACCACAGCTAAATGGATATACATAGTTAAATGCAGAAAGAAAAAAAAATTGACGTGTTTCCTTGATCAAAACAATTACATAATACAGACCAATTAAATAACATTAGTCTCACCTACTGCTTCTTGGTTCCTCTGAGACATCTCCCTATTCATGGTCTCATAACAGTGGAGACGTTCTAAGAGTCGAGCAATCTCAAAGTTCTTTGCCTCTAGTTGAGCTTCCATCTCTGTCTCTACCTCAGCCCTCGCAGTCCCTTTTCCAATGGTATTTGATATGAACTGAGCAATATAAACTTGTTGACATAGATCTTCAACGGGATCAGAAATATGCTGCTCACCCTCAGCAACAGCGGTAAGATCTGCAGGCAAAATGATGCCTACTTGATATAACCCTTGCCTAATACTTTCCCACAGGCTTCTCATGTTGTCAAGGGATTCTTCAGCTTGCTTCCGCTTCTCAATTTCCATCAACAGACTTAATCTTATTTCACGCAATTCAGCTTCAGTATGGTGTGTAGAACTTTGTGTCATGCTTTCGGAAGATAATTCTACAGGAAGAAAAGAGCCAAGTAAGCTACTTTATGACATGAAATATATCTATGAAACTTCATTACGAAAGTAATAATCCTAGCTTTCCTACCCTATATGATAAGTAAATGAATACGCAATAAGATTGATACATGCTCCGTTGTAACAGAAATAATTAGCAGTAAAGCTAGCCCAAATTACCTTCCCATGCATCATAAAACTCCCCACCAGAACAGCTGAATTTCATAGACAGTTCTGTCCCTGCATTCTCTTCCCCATCTGTATTACTCGTGAAACTCATTGAATCTCGTGGGTCAAAAAAGTCCTCAACCACTCTATCTCTGTCCAAATTCAATGTCAATGGCTTTTCCTTGAGTAAACCATCAGTCAAGTTACTACTTCCAGTTTCTATGTGTCCATTTGCAAGGTCAGCATCATTGCTGCCATCAAGTTTGCCGTCAGGGACACCATTCACCTGCTCCTCTTTAACGAGCTCAGGGCTCCTAGAACTAACATGAAGGTCACCAGCCGAACTTGCAACAACATCATCAAAGCTCTTGTCGCTAACATCTTCACCACCATGAATATTCACCTCGGACAGCACACTGGCCTCAGAGGAACTCTTGAGGAGGCGTGGACCACGGCGCTTGTGGTTGATTATATATGGCGAAGGAGGGAACGAAGAAGGCGCATCCGGAAGCGGCGTCACCTCAGGAGTGGTATAAAGTGCCGGCTTCAATGGAGGACGAGGAACCTTAGTTTTCTTGGCTGACACATTCGTAGTTCTCTCCAGGTTCTGCGAGTTTGGGACAGGCATTGAAGTTGGAGCAGATTTATCAACTGCCTTAGAAGCTCCCGGCTCTATCAACCTATCCAACGCTATGGCAGTAAAAGTCGGCATTGCTGTAAAAACCACAAAGCCATATGAACGTGAATTCAACAAAGTTTCCCACTCAAGTACACTAATTAGCAATCTATCCACATCCCTAATTCAATAACTACCATTAATTCACGATCAAACCATTGAACCTAATCTAAATCAACGAAACTGAATTTTTGAGGTAAGTTTATGTTTATTTCTCCCCCAAACCACCGCCATATGCAGAAAAATTACATTCAAATGAACAAAAAAATAATAGAAAAAGCAAAATCTCCCAATTAATCTAATTTGACGCATATTTGAAATAGGCAGAAAAATACAATTCATTTTATCTCGCTAAAGAGAAATTCCTAATATAAAAAAATCTCATGTCATTTCCCTTCTTCCCTCAACATATTAATAACAAAGCATATAAAACAATAACATCTACATATTAATTTCTCCAGAAAACTAAGGAAATAAGAATAAAACAGAAACTATGTCGCCATAATCCTAAAGGAAATCATCAATAAGAAGCGAGAGAAATAAGAAATACCTGGCAGAAAGAATAAGAAAGAGAGAGAAGAAGGTGAAAAGGAAGGAAAAGCTTAATCGAGAAAGAGAATGAACAAGGAAGCGGCGGGAAGAAGGTGCAAATATTGCGGATGTTTTGAAACGTTTAACGTTGGTGAGTGTTGTGTTGTGTTGTGTTGTGTAATGTGGGGTTATATTTTGTGGAGCTGAGTGATATATATTTAACACCCAACCTAACCTCTTCACCAAGAAATCAAATGGTTGTGTCTTGTGTTGTGTGCGTGTTTTGTGCCCTTTTTGTATTTTGAAGAGAATATAGTATTTGTAAATAATTTAAAATAAGAAGGGAAAGATGATGAGCGCCTTTTGAGTTAGGTTTCTCTCTCTGGAATTTCACGCAATTTTATTCTCCATCGCTCTCTATTCTTACTATTTTTATTCTCTTTTTTGGTTCCTTCTTCTGTGGAGGCCCAGCCCATTTAAGTACCAAAAACCTCACCCAAGCACGACGCCGTTTAATGAATGCATAATGCATAATGCATAATGCATAAATAAATATCTACCGTTGAACGGAACCGGATAGACAGAGAACACGGGAAAGTTCCAACGAGAAGTCGTTGTCTATTCTTTATTTCTCTTAGAATTTGAAATTTTGAATATCAGAACAAGAGCCCAATAAGTCAGATACGTCAAATCTTGCATTTCAACTTTCCAGACCGCCAAAATTCTTAAGTTCCTGCACTTATTTTCTAGAAATCAACATCTCTTTAAGATAGATGACTTTGTTACGGAATATAGTAGGATTAATACATTTTTATTCTCTCTTCATGTATCAATATGAATATTACATGAATCATATAATAAATAATAATAATTATTATTATTATTATTATTATTATTATTATTATACAGAGTTTCATACTTTGTTACCTATGATAATTTAGAGTGACAAGAAAAAAACCTTAACAATTTAGTTAAATATTGTTTATAATAATACCAATTAAATTTAACACAAGTTTTTTTTTTTACGAACGTGAATTAAAATCTCATTATATGTTTTTTATTACATTAAAATACTAATTAATATGATAACCTAACATTTATTATAAAATTAAAAGTAATTAATGCATTAAAATACTTCTTCCATTTCAAAAATGATTGTGGGGTTTGTCCACACATAATAAAAAGAATAATAAATTAAATATATTTTTTTTACAATTTTACTAAAATCTTAATAAAAGCATTACAATTTTACTGAAATAATCTGCTCTCACAATAAATACATTATTTTGAATTATGATGATCAAAATAATTTATAAGAGTATATTAAAAAAAAAGCTATTGAATATTATGTTAAAGAGTGTGAATATTTTGAGACATTTTTTAAATGTTAATACTATAGTCATTATGGGATGAAGGGAGTATATTTAATGTGAAATTTAAATTTTTTTAAAGAGGAAATGATATGAAATTATTTTCTAAAAATACTTACCAATATAGTATTTTAAAATTTATTATAAAATTTAAGAGTAATTAATGCATTCAAATATATTTAATATGGCTTTTGAATTTTTTTATAAAAAAAATCACGGAATCAAATTTCTTTATTCACCAAAATAAATAAATAAAACCCTTAAAACTAGTGAAATAAAAATGCAAGCGAAAAGTCAGCCCACTTAGAAATTTAATTTATTTGTTTATAATATATGATATTTAATTTGATATAATATTTCTTATTTTTTTATTCCGTCAACTATATTAAATTATTGTATTAGATTTTAAATTTCATTGATTAAAATTTTCTATTATTATTATAGAATTCTTATGATTAAGAAGATTATGAATTTTTTTTAGGTAGATTAAAATCTACTAGGCATGTATGATGATACATGAAATAAAAATTTGAGGTGACTATACAAGTATAAATAAAAAAAATATTATATTTCACAAAATATAAATAGATTTATAATCCTAGTGACTAAAATACAAAAAAAAAAAAAATTTGAATGACTCAATTACATTTTTTTAGGTTAGAGACCTAATTAAAAATTTTCAAAAAAAATTTATAGACCAAACAATGTATTAAAACTTTAATAAAAAGTAACATGTTTTATTACATTAAAGAAATAACAATGTTAATAAATCTAAAATAGATATACTATATTTTTCATTCAATTTAGTTTAATACTATTATTTATTATAAAGTATAATATAAATAACTTTATAATGTATCTCCAAATTAGCAGGATAAAAGTAAGATAAAAATAAATTGACTAGGACCAAACTTGAAATTTTTTAAAAGGATCACAAATATATTTACCCTTTCATAAATATAATACGAAAAAACTAACAATAAATATAAAAAGGCATTATAATTGTATAACTTTATATTTAGATATAAAAAGAAATATATAAAAGATGATAAATTTAATTCATTTTTAAAAATAATGTAAAATAATATGAAAATTATAACTCAATTATATAGTTTTAAAAAACCCCAAGCGTGTGGTTCAGCGGTAGGGATTGATCCACGCTTAAGCAAGGTCAGGGGTTCGAATCCTGCCTTGTGTATACAGCCGCGTTAAATCTTGGGACCAGCTATCCCACTCTTTGAGGTGCCTCCAACGTAATGGGTCTCTTTTTATCATGAACTTTGGGTAGTTGCACTTACAAACAAGGTCCAAGGCCAACACTGCTCAATCATTATCATCAACTACTATTGCAATTAATGTCACCACTACATATTCATTGTCATTACATTATCATTGTCATCATTAATATTGTTGTTACTACCTTAATAATAGTGACAATGATAATGATATCTTCGTCGTATTATCATCGTTGTTGTCATCATCTCAATGATATTATGATGGTAGAGATTATGATAATATAATGACTGTAATGATGTAGTTGTGATAATAATAAAAATAATAATTATGATACTAATAATAATTAAAACAAACATGATAGTTTTAGATAATTTTAGATATCATTTAATCATAATTTATATAAACAAAAGTTTATTAACTTTTATATTAGCCGTATTAAAAAGAATTCATACAAATAGTAATTTATGACTAATATAACTTTGATAACAACACACCGAGTTAGGGAATCTAATTTTATTGTTGTCCATGTGTCAACACAGGTTGGGAATCTAACGTTGCACCATGATATGGAATTATCGCAAGTGTCAACTAGGGAATATAAAATAACGTAAAGTGATTAGTGATATTAGCATTGCATTCGAGTAGAGAGTAGAGTGCATGAGAATCATCCAGAAGTTCTATTGGGGATTCTAGTATTCTACTTTCCCTGGTGATGAATAATAGATAACACTGAAGAGAGAGTTAGGAGGATCTAAATCAACACCTCCTTTTATGAGTTATCAAGTATTCTATTAGTTGCAAATTATATTTACTCATGTACGATGGTTCAAGTCAAAGGAGTTCAAGTATTTTAAATTTGATTCAAAATTGATATGCGTAAAAATAATTCATTGGATATATCCCGTCTTTAATGATTTGTTTATATCATTAAAGATGGGTTAATTTTTTACATGAAAGAAACTAAGAAAAACATTAAATTTGATATGAAATCAGGATTCAATAAATAAATAAAACTTGGTAATTAAGGGTCAAAGGATCTTGTTCTCACTTGATCGCATCATGGTGATGGTCATGGTTTGCGGCTCTTCTCCACGCACAATTAATTCATCACGCTGGTTGCACGGTCTCATTTTTCTTGGGTTCATATTTTACATGAATTTTGCGTATAAAATTATAAATATGTTTGTCTCATACTCTCATCTATGAAAAATTTTCGCAATCCTGCTATTTCCTATGAATCACTTTCTTAGATGAAATTTATGAAGCACCAAATTACTCTGAAACTTTAATTTAAGAGATATAACACATGAACCATATCTAATCAATAGGAATAATGTTGTATTTGTATATATGTGCAGTATCATTTTATGTGAGTTCAATAAATTCAATTTATTTATCAAAATTCATTAACTCAAACAGTTTAACATCTATGATCTTTAATTAAGAACTATGATTCGATCTTTAACTTAAATATGAAATCACAACCAAAGACACAATTTTATATTAAGAAGACCTCACTTAATTGAAAGAAGTTATATTTTTTAATTAAACAAAAAAAAATAATTTATAATGTTAAAGCATAAATGTATGTCATCAAATCCAACCGGAAGCAATAGGAAGATGAACATGATGTTTGCAATTGATTCATCATTCATGTGTTAACGATGAAGAACAAAAACACTTATATGTTGCTCTACATATTCTCATGATAATTTGATACGAGAGTCAAACTCTAATTCTTACAACAAATAGTACTAACACTTGAGTTTGCAACATCATTTCATTTGTAATAGATGACAGGTTTACTGGAATTCAAATCCCACATGCCTCCTTCCTTCACATACTCAAGATACCTTGCAAATTCAGGCCTAGCTGTTGTTTTCTTCTTCCGGCGAAGATCAAAGAAGCTGAATAGAGGGTGACTCTTTTCCTTTGGATTATTATTGGCCTTTTTTGTGGGGTTTCTCTGTAGATTCATGTCCCCAAAAGTTGAACTAGATGAAGGCAAACTTGTGCTCCTCTTAAACTCCTCATTTGAATTTCCATTTGTTGCAACATGTTCTTTATCTAATTTCTCATACTTGGCATGGCCTTTCCGACCGCTGTTGGATCTAATGAACATGATGGAACGTTGAGTGAAAGACAATAAGTTTGATTGATAAGAAAGGAAAATGGTTGGTGAGAGTTGTGAATGAGAGATAGCTTGTGCCTTGATAGAGGGCCTTATATATTATCAGATTTGGTTTGCTATTTTCTTCATTTGTGTTCTTTCATGTAATGCTTGTTCAATATACAAAACAAGAGTAGTGATGCGATTTTGTTGACTTTTTGTGCCGTCCCAACAAAATTCCATCCACAATTAAATGAAAGTCATGAACTATCCATGACCAAGAGAAATTTTAAAAAAGGAAATTGCGACTATGACACTTTAGTTTTTCTTGGTATTCCAAGCTTTGTTTCCTCAGTCAAAGTGCTCTCTAATTGCATGTCCTGATTAAATATTAATTACTTGCACATGAAACATTGAAATTTGAAACATTCAAATGAATAGTGGGGAAAGGAGGACAATAATGATATGATTGGAAAAGTAAAATAAGAGAAATACTCATTGTATGAAACGAAAGTTACAAAGACAGTTTCATATATAGAACGCACTAATACACTTTCAACCATCCTTGTATTGTATGGTCAATTAATTGGCCATGCTTGCACCACTCTATGATGTCATTAGTCGATTTACCAGTTCGTTATTTGCGTGCAAATAGCACTTCTGTTAAAATAAATGTTCATGACCAAGACATCCTTGTGTGAATTCTAAATAATTAATATCAGTCTACTTCAAAGATACTGTTTAATTTGCCTGTTTTCTCAAACCATAAAATATTGTACGAAGAGAGCTTAACACTGAAATAAATGAAAAATAAATTAATTCATAGAATTTAGGGTAAAGGAATCACAATTTTCCAATCACTTTGAGTATTCTTGACTGCAATTTTCGTTTGTTATACATTTACGACCGGGTTGGGTGAAACATTGAAATCACACATGACACACCCACACACGCAAGCACCTGCACTTGCGTAATTTGTTGAAAAATTATTGGTGGACATTTTATGTTGATGACTTCTAAATTTTTTTAAATATGCTGCTTGTTACATTTGTTTTTATCACTTGCCATTATAAAAATACTCCATCAAATTCACATTTTTATTAAATTTAATACGGGTCAATTCGGTCCCAAAAGCAAAATAACTATAGGAAGAAAAATATAGCAAAGGGTATTTTAATATTTGAAATTGACGTTAATTTTTTAAAATTTGTGGTAATTTTCCACAAAAATATATATATATTTACGTATTCCTTTTAATAATTTATGCTTATTGTGTAATCATGTATGAAAAAATTAATTTATTCTTGTATTATATTATTCATGTGTAAACTTTTTTATTAATTTTAAAGCGGAAAAGTTAACATTAATTCAATTAAAGCCTTTTATAACATATAAAAATGTTCTTATTTTTGTGTGGACCTGTGGGGATGGGACTGGAGTATTAGTTTTTTTATTCTTTTTTATCTTATATTTATTTTCTGACTGTATAGTGTCACTTCAATTTTGTGATTCTATGCATGTCCCTGTAGAGTCACGAAATCGATGGTCAAATAATTCGAAATGAAAATGGTAGGACGCATTCCATTTGTTTTCTGCTTCATCATAACAAAACAGGGAGAGGTTGTAAGTGGAGAAAGCAGAAGAAAAATAAAGGTAGTTGGATGGAAAAAGAAAGACGTGGTTGAAAAGAACGACGACAAAAATTAAATATTATTGAAATTAATAAATAATTTATTTATATTAATTGCATGATTAAAAAATCAATTTAATAAACAATTTAGTGATTCGAGGAATTCTTATTCTGATGTTTTCATTGAAAAAACAGTTCCGAAAATCTAATTCAAGAAAAACTATTCCGAAAATCTGGTTCAAGAAAAAATTATCGATTAAGCATCTCCAGAAGTTTCAAGAAATTGAGGCGAAATTACTATTTAGTAAAAATTCCTAATCCAACTATTCAAAACTATTTAACTCAATTTCAAAAATAGAATTATTATGTAATAGTAAAATAAATTTAACGAGCAAAATCTTATGCAGTCTTCTAGAAACTCCTTAGCATTTTGATTCCACTGACCAACTATTTAAAAGGATGACACACGTCGACGTATGTGCAAACAATTCCGAGGTTGGCTTTCGTATGTGCCATTTTGAATTTGAACTTGACAAGCAAATCTAGCCCAAAGAATCAAGCGCCACAGTAACAGTGAAGCTTCCAGCACTTTCCTGCCCGTCGAATAAACAAGCAGATTACAACATGTGAAATAAAGCCCGAAGACAGTCTTACAAAAATGGTCAGATTCCTACTTCAATCCTTTTGTTTTGTGACGCGTCATGTTCCAACTGCTAGAGATTAGAGCCACAGCACGTTTGATATCCTAAATAAACTCAAATTCAGCTTTAACAAGAACCAAAAAGTTCTTGAGAAAAACGGATTCCTTTACCACTACCGTATCAAAACCAATAGCACAGACAAATTCGCCTCTTTTCACATCCTGACTGCAAGCATTATAGAGTACCTTGTTCAACTTACTCAATATATCTTGGAATTGGAATGAAGATTAAAATAATTGTCCACGTACGCGAAAGAGCACGCCTAAATGATAAATAACATTTCTATTTTAAATTAATATTAGATCATTAACAACTCCAAATAGAACCAATTAAACCCGGATGGACCATGGAACTAGTTAATGTGACTGCAACTTTTAGCAATTAGCAATGTTTATATACACGAACAGCAGTGAATGTTGCACCACTAAACAATGCTCCAGTTGGTAATTTTATGATCTAATGTCTGGCTACACATTGGGTTCGACAGCATTCCGACAATTTTGTTCATTTCCTTGACCCTTCTATTCTTAAAATTGATTAAAAAGTTATTATAACAAAAATTCACAATTTTGCTCATAGAAAGCCGGTCTTAGCCTCACATGCTTTATACATCTATTTACTTTTGAATTTCTTAATTTCTTGCTAGAGTATGGGAAGAAATTTCCTTCATACATACAAATACTTATGAGACTATTACAACAGAAAATAGACTGACAAAATAATTACTGTGGTTTCGGAAGTTGGGACTGTGCGTGCCTTGGGAAAGGAATTACCCGGCCAATGTGAAGCTTCTATACACACTTGTAACTTGTTGCAAGAGACAAGGAGGGATAAAAACACAGAGCTTGGCTGCCAGCCATGTTACCGCTCCTCTGAGTTGAATTTGTTCCAAGCTTCCTGAAGTAGATAAAGTATAATAATTGATGAAGTATATGAAACTTTATCGAACTATAAAGCTTTAAATGACGTGAGATTGTACATGACAATGACCAACTATACCAAAAGGCAAAAACTTACACTGCAAGGTGAACTCGTCAAAAGATGTGGAGTTTGTATATGTCAATGAATAGTTATCAGGAAAGCCTACATGGTTACATAAATGCTCATAGATATTTTTATTACATTTCTAATGGAAAACGCCAACTTTCCTGGCACAAAAATGGAGAACTAAGAAGCTGGAAAAATGATAATTACTGACATGCTCCAACTAAACGGACCAACTACCAATACCCTTAATAGTCTACTGGCACCTAACTTGGGGGAAAGCGCTTGATCCCCTACTCCTATGGATTGATAATGCCCTCATCTAGGGTGTGCTTGGTGGAGTAGGTGAAAAAAAGAGAATCAGGGTTGCAAATCATTGTCAACCAAAACTCCAAAAGTGAAATCAAGCAGATTTCATTTTTCCCCTTTTCATTTTACCTTCCAGCAATTCAGTATCCACTTAGTCAACCAAGAACACCTTTCTATGATTCTCCTTATCCATACTAGGTATAGAACATGTTTTGAAACAAAATAATGAATAAAACCAACAAAGTGAAAAATAGAATGCATTACATACCTTCAAAAGATCAAAAACCTTTTCACATATGTATTTGTGTTGAATACTTGCTCCACGTTGCTGTAATTTGTCAGGATGAACACACAGGGTGGCCTTCCTGTAAGCTTTTTTCACAGCAGCAGCAGTAATGACCTCTGTCAATGGGATTGGTTGCCACCCAGAATCAGGCCCAAGGATCTGATAGGGTAGAAAAGTTAAAAATGGAACAATATAAACAGCATAAGCTCTGCATCTCCAAAACAATCAAAATCTAGATTAGTCTGGATGATTGCACATCTTAACTCAAAAGTTCTCATATAGCAGGAAGTTAAAACTAAAATCATTGTGATCAAGCATGCCAATAGATACATTTATAATTTATTTGAGACTCGTCTCCTTAAACTTCACACGTCACACCCTACTGTGTCTGTATGTATTACTAATATGTGTGAGAGAAGTTGGGAGTCGAAGGAGATAGAAGCTGTGTATGCCTAGTTCACAATATTTTCACTTACATACTGCAAGGTAGAAAGTAAGGCACGCAAGTTTCCTTCTTTTCCACCAGACCACCTCTTTACTTCGGCATCCAGGGTCTCTGATAGTCTCTGCAAACATCACCAGACACTAGTAGGTAATCAATGGAACAAAAACAACAATTTATACACCTTAGAGAAAAATTATATGGATGTGTACTTACATTTCTCTCAGCTTGCTCCTTCTGAGCTAGAAGGTCACGCATGTTCTTTTCTGCCAAAGCTTTTGCCTGAAATTTCCAGAAAATTTCATCATTATGTTATTGTCTATGGGCCTTATATGTAACTATCAAAAGATTGAAGATCTTACTGCACGCTCAGCAGTTCGGCGATGCCGCTCCAGTCTAGCTCTACACCTCTGAACTGATTCACCTTCTCTTTCTGATCTCTCAGAAAAAGAGGCAGCTTCAAGCAAAGTACAAGAAATGGTTAAGATTATATAAAGCAGAATGTAGTAAAATGTTGAACGAGAGCACATACTAAAGCATTGCAGGGGTGTTGAATTTTACATACCACCATAAAGTGAATATGGATGTCTGGAACCAGTGGAAGAGCCAAAGTTCTGAAACTGTTGATCCAGCATATCCTGTCATTTAAATTCATTAGAAATTTATTGGACCATGTCACAATTTATCAATATCAGATTTAAACAGATACTCACGGGGGATGAAGAGTCTTGTCTTCCGCAAAAATTGTCAGATACAGATCTCTCTAACCGTTCTCTGGACTCAAACACGGTCCTCTCAATCTTTAATTTTTCCATGGCTCGGTCTTGAGCCTCTGCAGTTGCTCTTTCTACAGCAGCACGTTCTGCTTTCAGTCTTGCCTCTGTAGTTTCTTTATCTATGTGTGACTTATCCCTGGCCTCAGCACATGCCTTCTCAAGTCTTTCCCTGGCCTCGGCCAGTGCTTTGTACCGTGCTTCCACAGTTGCTCTTTCAAATGCATCCCTTTCACAAGCTTCAGCATATGCCCTATTGCGAGCCTCAAAGGTTGCTCTATCAACAGCCATCCTATCCTTTTCTCTTTCCCAAATTCAGGC